AAATTATTTTCTTCAATCCCACTGAGTGCTTCTGGCATTTTCCCCATCAAAATTGTTGAAATGAAAAGTGGTACCATTGACTTGTTATAGCTGAATACGTTCACACAGAAGTGAGTAATTTATCTTGATCAGATGCACTTTTTCTATAACTAATCATCAGTTACGGAGAATGAGGATTCTGATGTCTTGCATAAATTATTCTCAAATGCATCTACTGTCAACTATACAAAACAAAATATATTCAGACTAAATAGCCTTTTACTCTCCCACAATCCTTCGGTTATAGCTTCATTTCTGCTTCATGAAGTTATGTAATTCAAAAGATTTATACATCTGTATAATTTTGTATCTGTAATGGCCTTTATAAGCCATTACCGATATTTTGCAAAGTCTAAATTGCAGTAGAACTGATTTATGAACTCTTGTTTGCCTTTAGATATTCTAGTCCTTATTATTCATATTCATTGCTACTCACACTTAACCTTTTGACTCCAATTCCTTCTTTTGAAAGATGCATGGACAGAGACTTTGTTCTTTCTGACATGTCTTATAATTTTTATCTGTTGTCTATTTTTCCAGCCATTAGAGGAATCCAAGCACTTGGTATCTAATTTGTTTACATTCTTTGTTTACTTTGTTTTAATGTTCTTCTTTCAACTCTCTCTTTAAATTGTTATTTCCTCTTGTCTCCTGCCTTTTGCTTTTTATCCAAATGTCTTTCTAGGATATGGAAGATATAATGGTGCTTGAGGAATCATTTAATGTGCTAAGAATCTTGGGGTGAATGGAAATGGACACACAGCCATATACAGCAATGAGATGGAGACATGATGGTGACTTATTTTTGTCATTTTACTTAAAGGAATTTTAAAAGAAAGTCCTAACTCAAATATTAGCTCCCAAACCTGGATTTTATATAACTGTAAATGTACTGGTTCATAGTCTGGATGAATAGTTTCTGGGAAATTTCTAAAATAGTAGTCTACTGTCATATTGTTGGGTTACTGTTGGGTTACTTACACCCTATTTTGTGGTTGATTATGACAATTGTTCATACATGTCAATTCCTGAATGCAGAAAAAGAACCCTTCCAGCAGTGGTCATTGATAAAGACTCTTCGCTCTTCTGATTTTGCTGACACTGTCCAACATTCCAGCCCAAAGTCCAAACAGAATATAATATAACAGTGATGGTTAACCTTTTCAGCACCAAGTGCCGAAACTGGAGCACACATGCATGCACATGTGCGCGCCGGAGTGCCGGAACCCAGAAGAGAGCAGCTGACTAGTGTGCATGTGTGCAGCAGCCAGCTGCTCTTCTGGGTTCTGTCGCATGCAAGCTGAAGACCAACTGGCCGGCATGCATGCGCATGCCGGAACCTGGAAGCCAGTAGCTGGCCAGTGCGCATGCTGAAGGCCAGTTGTCCGGCATGCATGTGCACAATGGAACCCAGAAGAATAGCTGGCAACGGCATGTGTGCCCACAGAGAGGGCTCTGCTTGCCACCTCTGGCACTAGTGCCATAGGTTCGCCATCATGGTAATATAATTTACGGCATATCAATCTCAGGCCTTCTTGCTGTTTCTAGCCACTCTCTAAACCCCCAAATGCACAATTTATTATTTACCATGACCGACATAGCCCAAGAACCATGTTCTGTACCTCTCTTGATGCTATAGTAAATCTGGTGGATTAGGAAGTCCTTGGTGGATATTTTCAGACTGACAAATTGGAGTTTGGTATAGAAACATTATGCTAATTCTATTGCAGTAAAATGAAAATGAGTGGCATTAACTGTATACTGATGATTGAGAATTTCTTACAAATGAAGGCAAATATATGTGTCCCAGGATAATGTTGTAGTCGGTCATCAGGTCCAGAGTTTTATTCTTCCAAGCTTTTGGAAGTGCCAAAGCCCATCCTCAGAGAATTTCTGTAGAGAGAGAAGTTCCCTGAGGATGGGCTCCAGCACGAGTCTGAAAGCTTGGAAAAATAAACCTCCAGGGGCCGACTCAGATTGGATCCTGCGAGAAATTCTTAACCTAATTTTGTATAATCTTCAGAAAATCTTCTCTTAGTAGTATTTAGCATTTAACTGGAAAACGAAGTAAGTTCCATAATTTTGCTTACAAATCTTCAAAAAGATGGTTTCTTGAGAATAAGCATTCTAGATGGACCACTGCTGGCACATTCACCTTCAGAGCAACAGTGTTAGACTGCACATTTGCCTACTCACAAAGTAATTGATTGGAGTTGACAGGGTCCAGTCAACACATAATGTCAACATGTAGGAAATGGTCCCTTTTAAGAAGAACTTAATGATGGACTGCTGTTATCAATGGCAATCACTTATCTAATCTGCATTTTAGCTTTATCCCATAGCACTTTCTAGATTGTAAAAATCAGGATGCTATGGAATTCACTTTGGCAGATGGAAAAGTGCATTTACTGTAAATGGAAAATGAGCATGGATAGAAATAAGACGTTCATACAAAAGCATCCTTTGGCTTTCAGTCACATAAGAGTTAATATGTTTAAGGTACAAGTATAATGTACGGCTGGACTTGGATTAGAGATGCCCAGGTTCAGATCCACACCTAACTATGGAAGTTAACTGGATGACTTTGGCTTATCACTCTTTCTCTCAGCTGAATCTATTTCAAAGGATTGCTGTTGAAGGGATAAAAGGGAAATCCCCATGTAAGCCACTTTGAGCTCCTGGAGGACAGACATTATGTAAGTCTGACATATAAATAAATCTCCTTTTTTAAAAAAAGGTCCTAATGCAGCCCCTCCCCTCAGCCAATGAGATTCTTTTACTGGGTGGGAAAGGTATAGCTGTCTTTGAGGTGGCAGATGTAAAATATGGATATGTAATAAAGTTAGACATTTATAGTGCTTCCAACATCAGAATATTTTCTAAATCTATTTTAGAAAATAGAAGAATCCTTCTTCCTTCTTTCCTTTCCTCCCCCCCCCCTTAGTAGCAAAATCTAGAAACATTGGCTGATCTAGAAAAAAACCCTACACAGGTTACTACTCATATGTGAGAACAAGAAAAGTCTTGTTGTATAATCTAACTGAAGAACTAGGGGAAAATATCTTGGAAAAAAGAAATCTGAAACTACAGAAAATTACAGAAACTACTTAGCCAATGAAATTTGAGCTCAATTTGATTGAAACTTTACCTGTCTTATGCTTACCTGCCAATATGCCCCCATACACTAAACAAAGAGTAGAGGGGTATATTATATAAAGAACATAAACATGCCATATTGATAAGTGGAATTTGTCGTCATATATCATTCTGGTTTTGGAAAAAAAGTCCTCATTGAGTTCTATTCATTTTGGAAATCTCATGTCTGACAACCATATTTAAAGTGTATGACCATGAAATGTATTAATACTGTATGTAAACTGTGGGTCCGGTTGTGCTATTTTTAAGATGAACTTGTGAACCTCCTCATCAAGAGACAGAGGTACCATCATCCTATGAGTCTGTTTTCTTACTGGAAAACGACCAAACTACACTTCGACATTGCTTGGCTGTTCTAGATAAGAAATACTGAAGTAGCAATAATAAATTAATGGCCATGCAAGATGAAACTCCAGTTGCTCAGACGGCTGTCTCCACATAATCTGTATTTTATACAAAAGGAGAAAGAACTCTATGGAATCTCAGCTGTGACGGAGAAAACCTGCCAACACAGTGTGATAAGGAAAGTCTAATGTGCGTATTAATCATGTTTATAGCTCCTCATTTGCTGATATATTAGCTTAAACTCCCTTGACATTCTTTTTTAAAAAAAAATCTAGTAGATACATTTAATAGGATTCCTATTGTTGTTCTGAATTGGATTAATTAAAACAAATTGACCATGAGGGTTTTTACAATAAATCATATTTTGTTTTTATTACATAATATAGTGATTGTATTACAGAATATATAACAGTTTCAGAATGCCTAATATAATTAACTCTTTGATTATTTTGAACTTTTACCTTTTTATATCTTCCTATTAATATCTTCCTATTTCAATATATTGGAGAGCTTTACAAAGAATAACTTCAAGTTGATAGTATTGCAGAATACAGAATAACCGAGTTGAAAGGGACCTTGGAGGTCTTGTAGTCCAACCCCCGCTTGAGTAAGAGACCTTGTACCATTCCGGACAAATGGCTACTCAATGTAAATTTAAAAACTTCAGTGATGGAGCACTCACAACAGTTTAGGTAATGTATACTATTTAAAATAAGTCTAAATACTTTCTAAATATAGATTGTACCCAATTTCCTAGAATTGATTTGCTTTTATTTGTAGGAATTCAATGCTTATTTTTTTCGATGGACAGAATTTATAATACAATTTTTCTTTCTTTAACTGTATCCAGTTTTCCCATGCTTGTTCTTGCTTGCTTGAATAAAATAATGCATATTATTTTGAAAAATCATATACTTAAGTGAGTAGCTAAACAGACAATTGATATGTTAAAGCAATACTCCATTCATTAGTACATGGAGTATTTCAATTTTCCAATTTGCAGTTGTTACTCCTCTTCTAATGTTTGTTTATAGAAGAAAAATGAATAGTTGCATAGGTCTCGCAATGCACATTGTTGTTAATAACTTGAAAGCAATCACTTTAATTCATATTTATGCAATGTTCTGTCCAAAAATTGATTTCAGCACGTATGCTGAATGCAATGCAACAGTCTGTTAATATTCATATAAAAATGAAAGTTACTTTTGAATGATCCTTTACAATTACTGCCATCAATTCAAAATAAATGTCCTCCATATATCAATGGGAACATTTGCATGTTAGTCAAAATAATTTTGCTATACAAACTATTTAAATAGTTTCTTAGTTTTTCCTTAAACAGGAGATATAAATTCCATGTCTGGAATGGAATGGTCAGATGATGATGTCTGATGATAAAATAAAAGATTAATAAGAATTACCTAATTGTAGCCCGTGTACCAGGAGTGGGTTCTACTTACCTTTACTACCGGTTCGCAATGGGATCACACACACACGCTTTCTTCGCTCACACACGCATCTTGCTTCTGCGCATGTGCCTTGCTTCTGTGCATGTGCCGTGCTTTTGCACCACACAATTGAAAATAAGGATGATAATTTTTTGACATACCGTATCAGCCAATAAGTATACAAACAATCACTCCATTTACTATGCTATTTATCTTATAACATATTTTGGGATAAAATACATTTCAAATTTATCATTTTATCTGTAAAGTAGGATATAGAGTTTGCAATTGGCTTGTGTTCACTGCTTGGTTAGTAAAATATTTGGTACAAAGTTTGACCAGCAGTATAATGCTATTATAAAACTTTGTGATATTAATTACATTTTTTTTAAATTCAGAAGAGAAGTTGAATTTCTCTGTTGAGAAATGTATTTCTCAACATCTACATTTTTTGATGGAAATGTTAAAAATCTCTTTTAAACTGTATTTTACAATTTTCATTTAGGCTAGTCATACATTTTACTAGCCTTGGAAATCCAAATTATAACATTTAAAAATAAGTAAAATTCCCAGTTGCATTTTTAATCATACTTAGCCACAATCCTATATCCTTGTACCCAGGAGAGAGCTTCACTAAAATCAAAGGGACATATTTTAGAAATGACACATGGGATTGTAAAGTTAGTGCTCACTGACAAAGAGTTTCCCTTCGGCTGCTGTCTAGAAGGTTCTCTCTGTTTTCTTTTAATTTTTTTATTTTGGTTTCATCAACTGGTTTCCAAGCAAACACTGCAAGATTAGATGCTATCATGGATGAAATTTCCTGCAACTGGCATCTCAGGATAGTGACAACTGATTGAGGAAATCCTTGTTATTGCAAGACAACTCCAGGCAAAACTGGAACAAATTGCCATCTTCTCCTTCTCAGAACAACTGTCAAAATGCACTGTGGAAGTTAAAATCCATATATTAAAGGCCGCAGTTACCAAGAGCATGTTGGTTCTGTAAGTCTGGGTACATAATACATTGATGCCAAAACCTAACAAAGTGTTGACTGAATTCCAGCTGGTGGCAACATATGGTACATCAGCGAGCTTATCTTGGATACCTCTATGTGCAAACAAATGTGCATTTGTTCCAGCACCAGATTGATTTCTCCTCTTGTCCCATGGGAGACAGTATCACCTTTTCAAGAAAACCCAGCAAACTATTTCAGACTTCAGCCCTCAAGAATGAGGAGTAAGCCTTGTTCAGTGTACTGGGATATGTCCAAGGAAAAAACTACCACACTGCACTGCCAGCCTCCATATACCATTATCAAACTCAAGATAGTGTTTCTCCCAAGAATTTAACAAGAGAAGAAAAATAACAAATTGCTTGACAGTAACATAATACCCAGGATAGGTAACATAATACCCAAGAGTGCCTGAAATCTATAACCAACCAACCTTTATATGTTCCTTGCAGAGACTAAAAAGTTAAAATTATCCATAACTACTATAATACAGCCACTTGTCATTATAAAAATTCAATCACTTTACAGTCTATAGCAGGGCAATATTCCAATGTATCAATTTGTACAGTGCTTTAATCTGTTATAAATCTACATATAATATTAATCTATATTCATTTTAATGTTTCAGCTTTATGCACAGCACTTCTTTTTTTTCCCATGAATTTGTACAAATCATGTCCATATGAATCCTTCCTTCCCTTGTACATGCAATCCCACAAACAATGTCTGAAAGGGGCCGTATTTTAATTTTGTAGATCAGTAAATCAGGGATTGAAATGTTCTGATTTGGCCAAAATAAACCAAACAATATTTATATCAACAGGGCAGGCATTTGAACAATTTTCTTAGCCTGGAATTTTGTTAATTCAATCATGTAACGGAGCATCTCCATCCTACTTACAACATTGTAAAACTGATGTTGCTGCCGTCGTTATGGTCTATTGAATGAACCTCTGGTGGCTGCAGGAACAAGTTATTGCAGTTTTCCTGGCAAAATTTTCGGAGATGGTTTGCCATTGCCTCCTTCCCAGAGAGATGACTTGATCCAAAGTCACCCAGCTGGCTTTCACATCTAAGCCCCAAACTAGAATTCACCGTCTCCTGGTTCTATCCCAGGAGTCCCTCCACTGACTGTTCATTGCATTTAGTATTGACAAATTGTTTTTCTTGCATATTTTTGTCCTAAGGAATGGGAGAACTCTGCTGGGACAATCCAAAATACTAACATACACTGCCTTAAATAAATTTGTTTATCTGATTATGAAGGACTGAACTATGAGGCAATTACACTTTCCTACAATTGCCAGATTGCTTTCCCAGAGCCACTTCAATTCTATTTCCCTTAGACTGAAACAGGAAATAATTGATAAAATGCAAGCAAAATTCAGCTTACTTGTATGCAAATCAAGCCTAGTGAAATTGGGCACACATATATACAAATGTTTTCTCCTTATGGGGGATAACATGAAACATATCATTAAGTCTGTTTTAACTCCATGTTAATTTACCAAAGGTTCCCAGAGGAATTCAAGCCTGGATTCTTATATAAATAGTAGATATAAGAAATAGATTCTTATATAAATAGTAGATTATCAATACGTAATGGGTAGAAGAATTCAGAAGCTTCTGACACTATAAACATAGGACCTGAACCACCACTGCAAATGTGCCACCAAATAGTTTTTTGGGAACTTTATTTCTTTGGCATTCTTTGCTTTGGCAGCAAAATCTGTCTGGTGAGTTTCATAAAATTCAGTTATCAACAGTATTAAGTATTTCATAGTTGCTGATGAGCAAAACCGAGATCCAAAAGTTCATAAACATTTCATTTCTTTTATAGGAGCAGACCCCTCCAAAAATTATTTAAATTTTTTTATAATTAACCAAGATATATGAGACTCTCATAAATAAGATCATTTCTATTTGTTTAATGACTTATTTGTGTCTGAAAGATTTGTTCAACTGGGACTGAAGTTTGATAATATTCCAGTATGCGAAAAATTCACAATCAGACACACCATTTTTTCCACATAAAAACGCAATTACCTCATGTTTTTATAGCATTTACAGAATGATTAGATTTTAGCACCATGGGCCTATCTAAAGTTTCAAAATCACAGCTGCCTCTTTCAATGTGGAAAGACATTCTTTTACTATTTCCCCTCCCTGTCTCAGTTATCTATCTGCAGAAAGTTCACTCCTAATGCTAGTGATGAGTATGAAATAAGGCCTACCATAACTGTTAGGAAGTAATTTCATTAGAAGATAAATGACTCCACAGATCTGCCTTCTTGAATCAGTGGGATGATCCAGCTTCATCTTCTCCTCACTATTTAATCAAGTTCATGTATATGCTGAGGAATAATGCCAAACAAGGTCAGATAGTTGCTCCTAAAATGACTCCCAGCTTTGGACAGGCAGAGATTTCACTGTGAGAGAAGGACAGTGGAATAAATCAAGACTTGTGAATGACAGTCATTTGGCAACAACAGACAAATCTTCAGTGCATTGAATCTTAAATACACTTTGGCAGATAAATGCTATTTCTGAATGAACGTCATCCTTACATGCGAATAAACAACATTCTATGCAGATCTTAGTTAATCTTAAACACTTTAAAAATGGAATAATCCCAGTCAAAACAATGTAACCCATTTTTTTTAACCATTTGTTCACTCTATGGAACTTGTCATGTTGAATATATTATTCAGAAATATACAATGCACAGAAATCCTCACGCATGACATACAGGTATGTCTCAAGAACAAATTCAAGCTTGCTATTTTAAATATAGATACTCATCTCAACTCCAGGAGAGTTACAGGAATGTATCCATGCAGTTATCTTGCTATGTTAGGAAAGTAGTTTGCCATTTCTTTCTTCTATACATGATACTGATGTCATGGCACCAGTGGATAGGTATCCACAGCCAACTATTTCCTAAAATAGCTTCTATCCCAGCGCAATAACCATATTGAATTCTATGGCGTAGTGCAATATCGGGTTTTCAATTTCAATTATATAGAATGTAAAGGATGTATGTTTGTGTTTTTATTTTTATAGTTATAATGTACACTGAAGAGGGCATTTAATTTCATTGTACCATGTGCAATGACAATAAAATAAACTAAACTAAATTAAAATACTGGAAGGAATTATTGCCTTTTAAAAACTCAGTCTAAGATGGCAGAGTGTATGATTTCATGATGGTGGATATAGAAAGAAGATTGAAACCAACGAAAGGAACAGTTTTAATTGACCCCCATATAGGGTGGCATTTGGCCACATATAAATTAGTTTAGTAAAATGTCAATGCTACAAAACATAAAATTGCCCAGGAAACTGTTTTGTTACCAAGTGAATGGTTTGCTTTCATTCCTCCTGTATTCAGTAAAATAAGCTTTCAGGAGGTAGTGCCAGCAGGTGGTGGAAAGAAGAAACAGAAACCTGTTACATTTGAGAAAGCTTTTAAAACCCCAGATCTTGACGAGTCAACAAAATTATACTATGAGCGTAAGTTCCATTCCGTTTAAAACTCTTTTTAAAAATACAGTGCTTAATTTGCACAGGATATTGCATTATGTTATTTAAAATATAATAAAACCACATTTTTGTAAATGCTGGTCATTAAGAGTTGGATTTGAAACCAAACCAAACAACAACAAGAAAGCAAATGTATCAGAGCTGTTCACCCATGTGCGTGAATAATTTTATGTGTTATTTAAACAGAGAATCTTCTTAATGCTATTTATTTTCTTGGATGTTTATAGGCCAAGCTTTGCCAGCCAGCTTATGCTGCAAATGGCCAATAAGCAGAACTGTTCCTGCTGAAGTGAAAGTGGAGGAGGAACAGTATTATATAAATAAACATCGCCAGTCTGACCATTCCTCTAATTCTGCTTTCAACCAGGCATGCCATGAGTGAAAGTAATTAAAGACAGCATGCAAAGGTTGTTTCAGAAATGTGTAAACAGCCGTACAGCATGAGTCCTATCAGGAAAAAAGGAAGGGTTTTGGCAAGGTAGACAGTTCATGCTTCTTTGACAAAGGATGGCATTCCCAATCAGGAAGCAAACAT